TCTGTACCACAATTTCACAATATGTTCCTAGAATCTTAAAAATGACCAGAACTTTTGACTTATTCATGAACCAAAGAGGCCACACATTTAGGGAAATAACTCTAAGTGAAAGCAACTCCTCATAGACACGTTGCCTGAGGACACTACTATTTTCAAAAGAGGACACACCGTCCAAAACCTAAAAGTCCATCACTAGGAAGATGGTTACAGAAGTTTAATCGGACAGCTAACACTTATTTCATGTTTGCAAGGGGCGAGGCATTGTGCCGAAGTCGTCACATGAGATGCATTGTTCCCGTTCTACCCCAGTTATGAGGTAGCTAGTATGGCTACGCCTGCTTTGCTGATGAGGAAACTGAGGCTTGGTGACATCAGGAGGAGTTATCTAGAGGTCTCAGGTTCTGGGGGAGGTAGGACTAGAAGCAGTAGTCTAACTCCAGAAACTGCATTTTTGCACACTCCATCATCCCTCTCGATACACGGGTATCTGCGTGTGTTGTGTGCACAGTGATGCAATATTGCACATTTACTTTAAATATCAGTTGTCTACTTTAAGTAATTTTGTATCCCATTTTCATAACATGGAAAATGTTTGTTATACTGTGGACTTAAAAACAGAATATGAAACTGTCTATAAGAGGACAACCTCTCAAAATATTTTAATTTTGGGGGCGCCTGGGTAGCTCAGTTGGTTAAGAGTCCGACTTCAGCTTGGGTCATGATCTCACGGTTCGTGTGTTCGAGCCCCACGTCAGGCTCTGTGCTGACAGCTTGGAGCCTGGAGCCTGCTTCGGAGTCTGTGTCTCCCTCTCCTTCTGTCTCTGCCCCTCCCCCGCTCATGCTCAAAAATAAACATTAAAAATTTTTTTAAATATTTTAATCTCTACTTAAAATATTTAAATATTTAATTAAAATACATACTTTATGAATTTAGAAACAGAAACACATTGCTGTATTCACAGGGATTATATTTGGATAGACATACTCCCTCTACATTTAATGTTCCATCTTTTGTACATTTTTTTTTAAAACTTATTCATTTATTTTGAGAGAAAGAGAAACTACAGGTCGGGGGGGCCAGAGAGGGAGGGAGAGGGAAAGAGAGAGAATTCCAAGCAGGCTCCACACTGTCAGCACAGGGCCCAATGAGGGGCATGAACCCACAAACTGTGAGACCAGGACCTGAGCCCAAGTCAAGAGTCAGACACTTAATCGACTGAGCCACCCAGGAGCTCCATGTCTTTTGTGCATTGTCAACCATGGGTCACCACTCATAGATAACAGAGATCAGCTCCCTGGTGCTCCATTTGCAAGCCTTCAGGTGAGCTGAACTCTGACCTTGACGTGGTCTTCATCCTACCTGTCACATATCCCAAAGCGAAGATGCCAAAGGCCCCCTGTACGCAGCTTCAGTACACGGACACAGTCCCTCACGGCCCACTCTCTCCACCCAGGAAGCGGTTTGGACACTTCTGGGGTAAAGCCACAAACCACAGACCATCCCACAAGCCCTGCCCGAGGCTGCTTGCAAACGCCCATCTCAGCACAGCCACCACGCGGAGTGGGCCCGACCCAGAGCCAAGACCACAGGCTGGTGGCCAGCACCAGCCACACGCTGTCCAGTGCACACAGTGCTTCGGGCTTCCTGGCGTCGTGTATGTGCCCAATCTTGTTTTTAATTAATTTATCTGACAACTTCCAATCCAGGCCATGCAGTACTGTGACCTGGGATGGGGTCGTACCGCCCCCTTGGACAAGGACGCGGGCCCTGCCTGCCACAGTCCCTGCCCCTCCCTGCTGCCTTCCCTGGTGCCAAAGCTGACTAGTGCTCGAGCTGCTGCTTCTGTAACGGCAGAGCGATAGCGAAAGTGAAACATGTTCTGTGTTCTCTTTTGACAGGTTCGGTCAAAAGGGGAAAAATGAAATGTGAGCTAGGAAGGCTGTGGGTGTCAAGTAAAACCGAAGTGAGTACATTTTCCAGGCACTTCTGCTCACGTACAGTGCCTCCCGGGTCCCAGCCAGGTCCCAGTGAGTCTTTGAGCTTTCCATCTCTGGCCTAGCGGGTTCCTGGGGGACAAGGAAAAGAAAGCTGCATCCTTCCCCCTTGCCTGGAGAGACTCCAGGTGAAGAAAAGTATTGGCAGGGCAGAGGCGCTGCCTGCCTGCCTGCTCTGTCCCCAGCAGTGATCGGTCTGGAGTAGTGATCCCGCCCAGCACCGGCCCCTCCTCCCCCATGCAGCTGGGGCGGAGGGAAGTAAACAACAACAGAGGCTGCAGACACAGAACTCACACCCAGCCCTTGGATTCCGAGAGCTGTGCCTCTTACACAAACAATGTAACAGGGTCATTCTGGAGACACGCTCCCAACCCACCTTCCCCCTCACGACTGAAGCTGGATTTGTGATAAGTTTGTGCAAAGGTCCAGGGCAAACAAACCTATGTCAGCTCCTACAAAATCTCAGGGCAGATCCAGGTGGCCATGAGTCCACTACTCTCGTTTAGGAGTGTGACCTCAGGTCATGCCTCAGGCTCCCCTTTGTAAAGGTCTACGGGTTGGGTTGCTGGGAAGATGCAACACACACAGAGCCCTTCACGTAGTACTGGCTACTCGGCCCCACTGCCGAGCTCCGGCTGAGCCCAGACCAGAGGAGCGCAGCTCATGGGATGCTGCAATCTTCCTTCCTCCCCCCTGCACTCGCTCAGGTCAACTGCCCTGGTCTGCATACCTGGCAGCTAAGCCCCCAGGGCCCAGGTGCTCAGCCTGAGCACTCGGCAGAGGTGAGAAGTGCTTGCCTGCAGGACACTCCCTTGGCTTATTAAGAGCCTTCCCTGAGTTCACAAAAGGCCAGCCTCTTGGCACACTGAAAAGGACAGAATAAACACATGTTCATTTTCTGTTGCTGCCTCAAGGGACTGAATGAAGACTAGTTTCCTTTGGGCACACGGATGCACTCACCACAGAAGGCTGTGGGCTGGGTCCCAACTGTACAGGAATTGGGCAGAGAAATCACATCCCTCCACATCCTGGTGGAGAGGGACAGGGAGGGCACACTGGTCCCCGTGTTGTTATTGCTCAGAGAGCTTATCCGGGAGACAAGGCCCCAGAAGTAGACCCACAGGACCCTCAGTGCTGTGCTGGCCAGGAGCAGGCGCTTACCTAGCATGCTGAGTAAATGAACAAGGCTAACAGCCATACAGACTTTACAATGTCAAGGTGAGGTATGAGATGAATAGTGCACACAATGTCGGACATACGGTGAGCTGCTGCAGCCGCCCAGCTCCCTAAAACTGGCTGGTTGCACCCAGCTTTGGGACCCTTCTTGGGTCTGGACATGCCTTGACAGCCTCCCATCCCTCCAAGTGCCAGAGGCTTTTAGCCTGGCCTCGGCAACCCTCGCAGTTCAGTCCTTGGCCTGCCAGGTCAGCCACCATTCTGGTACCCTCTGTGGGGAAGGTAGAGGGTGGGGGAGGGCAGGACAGAGGATGCAATCACTTAATTTGCCTCCAAATGTCCCCGGCTTTCCTAAGGAAGGCACTTCTTGAGAAACAGCTCCGTTGGTGTCCGGGCTGGCCATGCCTTGCCCCCCACCCCAGTACGCACACACACCCCTAGCCCTTTTTCCTCCCCTTCCAGGGTCAAAGTACCCAGGCTGTGATGGATGCAGGTCTGCCCCCAGGAGCAGATGACTCGTCAGTAGGAACTCTTCCAACATCTGGCCCCAAAGAGTTTTAAGACTTAAGGAGAGATGTCCTCTCCGCCTGAGATGGACATAAAGCTTTCCTGAAATAGGACAGAGAAAACACCAGTCTGGGGGCCAGGACTCCTGGTTCTCAGCCTGTTCACGATGTCCTCCATTCCTCTACATCTTTCCTTTGGCCTTGGGGACAAGACCAGATCAGCAAGCTTCAGACACTTCTGTGAGGGGAAACCCTTTGATTCAACTACATTGTACCAATATGTGACTCAGGCGGGTGGAGGCGAAATCTCCTTGCCCACAGATCTCTTCGTGGTCAGCAAGAGGGGCCTTACCCATGAGGGCCCTCAGCCCAGACCTGACGTCTGAGGTGTCAGGAAGGACCACAGATCGAGCCCTTCCATTATACAGAAAGGAGAAGGCGGCCCAGGCAGGGCCATATCTTGCCTGAGGAGACGGAGTACAATTAGAGCCAAGAACCAGACGTGAAGGGACTGAAATCTAACACCCCCAGCTTGTCCTTCCTTGAGAGCTGATACTTTCTACTCTGCACACCAAGTGCCTTCCTGTTCTTTCCACCCTCCTTTATCAAACCACTTCCAGGAAAGGACACAGAAACTCCTTTCTCAGCAGAAAGGATGTAACAGATTCGGCCTATGGTGCAGGATTGCTGGGTAGCACACCAAGAAATGAAGCTCTAACCACAAAGTCAAGGAGGGGGAGAGGAGTGACCCCTCAGCCCCTATAGCTGGTGGTCTAGATGTAAGACCTCCTGGCTGCACGCCCCTGGTGTTGTAGACAAAGGTGTGGGTTTGAGATCTGTGAGTCCCTCGGAGGCCCCCTGCCTGATTTAATGCTCTGGGAGGCTCTCCAAAAATTCTTAATAACTTTTGAACAAGGAATCCCACATTTTCCTTCTACTCTGGACACTGCAAATTAAGTAGCTGGTCCTCACCCTCCGGTCATTAGCTGTGTGGCCTCGTCTAAGTGTCTTAAACCTTTGGGAGTCTTGGTTTTCTCCTCTGTGAAATGGTAGCAGTGATAGCACCTGCCTCACACCACTGTTACGAAGGACCAATTAAGTGAACACAGAACACGCTCTAAGCAGGTGCCTGGCACAGAATAATTCATTAATCATCGAATTAAGGACAGACCCTACTGCAGATAAAAAGAATAATTACAGAGCATCACATGACCAATGCAGCCGCTCCTGAAAAGGATATGAACAATTGCCCCCCCCCCCCCCCCCCCCAGCTGGCAAACCAGCCAAGGCTCCCAGGCATCAGGAACCCTCCCCCACTCTTACCTTCCCGGAGCGGCTGTGTTTGCATCTGCAGCCGGATCTTGATGAGGTCGACAGGCGCACCCAGCCCCACGGACACGGCGCCGGCCACCATGCTGGCCAGGAGAAGGTCGGGCAGGGCTCCGGTTGGGCCGGCCCCGGGCTCCCTGCAGTGATGCTGGCTGAGGAACCTCTGCGTGTTACTGAAGACCCCGAACACCACCGAGTTGTAGACGGCGATGCTGGCGAGGGGAAAGGACATGCCCTTGAAGAAGCCAAAGACCTGTGGGAGAACCAGGGTGGCGCAGCATGAGGGCCCGCGGCCGCCGCAGGCCAGGGCACCCAGCTCCCCATCCCACCCTCCACACGGGCCCTGCCCGCTGAGCGGCCGCAGGCTGGTGAGGGGACGTGGTGGGAAACATAATCATTATGCCAGCGACTAGAAAACATGAGGGCGCTGAGGTAAGAGGAGAGACAGTTGAGGCAGGAGAGGAGGTGCTCTCCACCCACGGGCAGGGGCATTCTTGCTCCCGGGGAGAAATCGGCGTGTGGCTGCAGTTTTGTCGGGCCATCCTAGGCCTGGAATCCGTATTTGCCACCAGGGTGGCAGAGTTCTTGGGCTGGAAAGGTATCAGGCTCCAGGGCGCCTGGGTGGCTTGGTCCGTGAAGCGTCCAACTTTGGCTCAGGTCATGATGTCACGGTCTGTGAGTTCGAGCCCCGCATCTTGCTCTGTACTGACAGCTCAGAGCCTGCAGCCTGCTTCAGATTCTGTGCCTCCCTCTGTCTCTGCCCCTCCCCAGTTATGCTCTATCTCTCTCCCTGTCTCTCTCAAAAATAAACATTAAAAATTTTTTTAAAGAAGGAAAGAAAGAAATCTGGCTGCATGGAGCCCTGGTGGGTAGAGGACTTGCCAAGCACCGTACATACCCTCCTCATCCACCACTCAAGCAAAACATTCTCTGAAGCATCTGCCACAGGCTGGGGGGTGTGGGGGAAGCTATAAGAAATCCTCGCTGCCCTCACTGAGCCCACGCACTGGGTGCAGGAAAGGGGAGGAGGGCAGGGCCAGACAAACTGACAGGTGACTCAAATTTGATGTGCTAAGTCTGTGGGGAAGGTCTAAGGGGAGCGGAGCCCCCAGGAGACTTCTGCACATTCACCAAAACCACAAGAGAGGGTGCCTCCAGCTGAGGAGAACGTCCCTTCCATGCTGCACCTTTCTTTTTTTAAATTTTTTTTTAACGCTTATTTAGTTTTGAGAGAGAGAGAGAAAACGAGCCAGGGAGGGGCAGAGAGAGAGGGAGACACAGAACCAGAAGCAGGCTCCAGGTCTGAACTGTCAGAGCCCAATGCAGGGCCTGAACACACTAACCTTGAGATCATGACCTGAGCCATAAGTGGATACTTAATCGACTGAGCCACCCGGGTGCCCCTTCCACACTGCACTCTTGAGGAACATCACAGACACTCCTCTGAAACCTGGAAAATTCCACAGGCCCATGGAGGAGTCAGGCCAGCACATACCTTGAGCCCTGTGCCAAAAATGAAAAAGTACCGGGAACCTGTTGTATCAACTCCAGGCCCCACACAAACCTGCTCATCCTGACCTGGGTGTGTGCGCTCTATCCGCCAGGGGCAGGACACCTCCCCCCACACACACACACATACACGTACACACACCCATGCACACACAGCCTGCCGCAGGTTCTCCCTCCCGACTGAGCCCCTTCACATAATGTGGGATGTCACTTAGCCCCAAAGCGCTGTGTCTCCAAGGAAGGCCCACAGGTCTCACAAACACCCCGGCGCGGGGACGCTGGCTGGCAGGCACTGTGGACCACGCGTGCCAAAAAGGAGAATTAATGGCCACCATGCAGGGGAGTGACGAATCGCACACTGCCCTGAATGGCTAGAGTGAGGTTTGCAGTCCACTGTAAAGCAGCCCCTGAAAAGAGTTAGGACACCCCGGCAAAAACACACCTCTGAGGAAAATCTCTGCGGGCAGACGGGAGGCTCGCGAGCCCCAGGGCACTTCCTGTGAGTGACGCTGTGAAAAAGACGGTGGTTGGCAATGGGGCCACAATTCCAGGGACTCAGGGGACCGCCCAGGGCTGCCACAGGGCTTACATCTGACGGCTTCTTTAGATTGTCATTTCATCGTAAATGACAAAATGTATTTTTTAAATGGTTTTTAATGTTTATTTTTGAAAGAGGGAGAGAGCGACAGAGCACAAGTGGGGGAGGGGCAGAGAGAGGGAGACACAGAATCCGAAGCAGGTTCCAGGCTCTGAGCTGTCAGCACAGAGCCCTATGCAGGGTTCAAACCCACAAACCATGAGATCATGACCTGAGCTGAAGTCGGACTCTTAACTGACTGAGCCACCCAGGGGCCCCAACAAAATGTATTTTAAACTCCTCAAAGAAGGGCCTCAGAAAGCACATGCTAGTTCTCAAGAAGGGCACCTGAGGCCCTCTATAAAATATTATTCAAATCTGGGGCACTAGTGTGGCTCAGTCAGTGAAGCACACGACTTCTAATTTCAGCTCAGGTCACTATCTCAGGGTCTGTGAGTTCAAGCCCTGAGTCAGGCTCTTAGCTGACAGGACGGTGCCTGCTTGGGATTCTCTCTCTCTTTCCCCCCCTCTCTCTGGCCCTCCCCTGCTTATGTGCGCATGTGCTCTCTTTCTCTCTCTCTCTCTCAAAAATAAACAAACTTAAAAAAATTGGGGCGCCTGGGTGGCTCAGTCGGTGAAGCATTCAGCTTCGGCTCAGGTCATGATCTCATGGTTCATGGGTTCGAGCTCCACATCGGGCTGTGTGCTGACAGCTCAGAGCCTGGAGTCTGTTTCAGATTCTGTGTCTCCCTCTCTCTCTGTCCCTCCCCACTCATGCTCTGTCTCTCTTGCTTAAGAAGAAATAAAAAACATTAAAAAATAGTTTTCAAAATAGTATTCAGTTTTCCCCTTGGAAAAAGGAAAATCGTGGGCCCCCTGTTCTCAAGAAACCTGAGGTACAAGCCAGTGCTGGACATCTGGAATCAGGAGTGCCTGGCTCTAGCCATGGGAAGGGAAGCCAGTGAGCACGTGGTTTAGTGGCCTCTCATTTGGCTTCGAAAACTGACAAGTCACCCTGTTTTCGTAGGAATTCTCCCTATGATTCTAAATTCCTTAGAATTCCTCCGCAGAGGTTACACAAAATCAGCTTTCCCCCCAATAACCCTGCACGAGGTGGCGGGGCTAAGGTTAGGTGACACACGGTATTTGAGCTGTGGTGGTGTGAGGAGAGGAGGGAGGAGGCAACACTGAGCCAAAAGTCACTGAGCAGGAACAAACAGGCCTCCCGCCCTGATGGGCTGGCATCAGGGCTGCGGCCACGGGGGCCTGGGCAGGCTTCGAGTTCCTTGTGGGAGCCCCTGGCAGGGAGGGCCCCAACCCTGCCCCGGGAAGGGGGGCACTTACACTCTCCCTCCTGTACACGGTGCGGATGCAGCTGAGGGTGTTCCTGTAGTTGACGCCAGCCTGCAGGCGAGTCTGAGGAGAGACGTGCCACCGTGAGGGCCCAGGCGGACATGGCTCGTGGCCCCGCCACCCCAGAGATGCAGACTCGCGGTGCCCAGGCCCAGAAGGGGGACGGCCCTGCCCCAAGTGACCCAGCCAGTGAGGACGGCTGGGTTTCTGTCCCCAGCAGGCCCGCTCTCTGTGCTCTACCCGCGCTGCCTCCTTCAGTGTCCCATCCAGATCTTGGTGAATGGAGCCGAAGTGCTCCTGGTCTGAGAGAAGCACAAAGGCCCGTGTGTTGCTGCACAATGATGTGCGAATGATCAACATGTGACCCCTGTCTCTGGAGTAGGAAAATGAACGCATGGCCCTACCCCATCCGCTGTCCACACTCTGCCATCCTCAGGACCAGCAGAGTCACCTGTCCTTCGTGCCCCCCAGAACCCCTTCATCTCCCCCCGGGTGCTGGGCTGCTCCCCGCCAGCCTCCGGCTACCCCCTCGCCCCTTCGCCCATGTCTACACAGCAGTCCCACTGTTCTCTTCCAACAATAGTGAATCACATCACTGCTATTCAAAGTTGGCTGGCAGCTTCCCATCAAACGTACAGTAAACCCCACACTCTACCTGTGTCCAAGAGGCCGGGGACAGCCCACCTCTAGCCCCTGCATGTCACCTTCTCCATACCCCTGCCCTCCGTGCCCCCCACGTGGCACACCTCCAGGCCCCTGGGATGTCACTTTCCCCCTTTCCCTCCCCGCCTGAAGTTTCCACTGGCTCTTCCTTCCCCTGAAAGGCTCTTCCTCCAGCAACTGCTCACCGTTTAGGTCTGAACTTCAGTGTTGCACTGGTGTCATTTTTCTGTTTCTTATGGTTTATTCAGGCTCCCTTCCTATGGCAGAACCATCCCATATTTCTCTCTTGTCCCCAAGCTGAGCAGGGCCCTGTCACATGTCCCCTTTGCACTGGCTGAAGGAGGGGCTGAAGGGGAAGACGTGGTGTCCTGTAATGGAGCTCTGGTGATCAGGGGCATGAGTTGACAGCCACAGGGGGTCTGAGGAAGCCCACAAAAGCACCAGGGCACTCCCTTGAACCTAGTAAGAAGGAGCCCTGAGAACCACAGAAGGAATGATCTGGACCTCTTAGAATCCAGGGCCCAGGGACACTCAAGACCCATGCGGACTAATATTTCACGCGTTAGCTCAGTCTGTAGACAAGTAGCAGAGACTTAGGCAGAACATACAACATAAAAGTGAGGGTCTCTGAGGGGAAAATCAGGGGTGATGTTTTTCTGCCCTGACCTGCATTTCATTTTCCAACTTTCCTACAACAGGCAGGGGTTGCTTGTATTTTTAGCTTACATAATTTAAAACTAATTTTAAGTACACAACTCCTGTGGGAATATCCTTTCTTAATGAAAAAAAATTCCAACATTTCTCCCTTCCCACCCCCTCTCTGAGCTAATAATCAAGGCTAAGAGCTCAACGGAATCATCACAACAGTGTTGGAAACCCAGATGGCCACAAGCAACGTATAGCGTTCCTATAGCTACGGTACGTAAATGGTACCCCATGTTTCCTACAGATTAATTTCATAATCAGAGAAATATACCGATTGACTCACTCCACCAGTACTACTGAATGCCTATTTGGTAGTCACTGAGGCACTCTCAGGAAATTCCACAGGAGAGAAAGCAAACTCCCTGGGCTCCTGGAACTTATATTCAGGTGGGGATGGAAAAAACAGCCAATCAAAGGTAATTCCCAAGCAAATATATACGCCGGATGATGACAGGTGCCATGGAGAAAAACAGACCCAGGGCCAAGAGTGCGAGGTGGTTGAAGGAAAATGTAGTATTAAATCAGGTGGAGGTGAAGACACCCTGGAAGGTGTAGCAAGGTGAGAACCGGGCTTCCCATTAATCCGACCCATAGAGGCCTACATTGGGGTGTGGTATCCCCGACCAGCATGAGAACGTGGGCAAGGGGAGGTGGGCATGGCCATTTAAGACTGGCATTAAGGGGCACCTGGGTGGCTCAGTTGGTTAAGTGTCCGACTTCAGCTCAGGTCATGATCTCACAGTTCGTGCGTTCGAGCCCCACGTTGGGCTCTATGCTGACAGCCAGCTCAGAGCCTGGTGCCTGTTTCGGATTCTGTGTCTGCCTCTCTCTCTGACCCTCCCCTATTCATGCTGTCTCTCTTTCTCTCTCAGAAATAAATAAAACATAAAATTAAAAAAAAAAAAAAAAGACTGGCATTAAGAGGCCGAACGCCCTCTCCCACAGGCCCCAGTGCTGACAGGGCTGCCTCTGGGTACTGAATCCACAAAAAGGTGGAGTCACCAGAAAGAAATCAAGTTCCACTGAAAAACTCGAGGGCTCGAGTCACTCAGGCACATTGTAAGTGAGGAAACTCAACCCAAGACTCGAACCCAGACCACAGAATAGTTTCAAAACCATGGAGCGATGGTCTCCCAGCCAGGCTGAGCCTTGAGGTGGCCGCCCCTGTGGCCAGCAGCACAGGGCACCATCACACAGCCATGACCTTCCCTTACCCCCAGCGTGGCCTGGGGCTGGTGGAGCTTGTTGGAGGCGTGCACTTCTCGCACAGGCAGTCAGGCCACCTGAATAGGCTAGGGCCCTCCTACTCCTCTCCACTCTGGCCCTTCCTGATACATAAATCCGGTCTCTGCCCAGCCTGAGAACCTCTCCGCTCAGCGCACCAGCCTGGCGATGCCAGTGTTCAGTGCAGGACAGCCGCACACCTGCCGAAGCACGGGGCACCTTATGGAACTTCTCTCACGGAATCCCACAAACACCAGGCAGCATGGACAGTATACCCATTTTGCAGATTGAGAAAGCTGACTTCCACCATTCGTTTCCTACTTCTGTTGTAACAAATTAGGACACATGTAGCGGCTGACACCCATGCATATTTGTTCTCTTATGGTTCACCAGCTGGTCTAAAGGCAGCTGAGCCCTGATTAGCAAACCCTGGTCACACTGCCCCAGGCATATGCCCCAAATGCCCCAGCTGTGCTGAAAGCCAGGTGAGAATCCAGATCCCAGCTCCAAGGCTACCAAGCAGTCACGGGCTGGCCCTCCTACCTGTGATGAGGTGGCCAAGGGCAGGGGAAGGACCCTGACTGGGTCCTTTTAGCATGGCTCTTCTGAGGATAAGCGCTGGGACCTCAGACAAGTCACAACTCACTCCCAACTGCGTATGTGTTCCTTAGGGTACAAACGGCTCACTCACTACTCCAGCCTCAGTGCCACGGTGCCAATCTTCACAACGGCCCCTCCAGGAGGTGCTCTTTGCCCATTTTTCAGATGAGGAAGGCAAGGTTGGCGGGGGGCGGGGGGGTGGGGGGCGTTGCTAAGGGCTGCGCCCTGGCTACAAGAGAGCAGGGGAAGGGAGGCAGAGACTGTCCTGCAGGTGATTCAGACTCTGAGCCTCTTGCTCGGACCTTTCTCAGAGAGAGACTTCAGAGAAAATGTTAGCCAGAAGACAGAAAGGAAGGAGCACGTTCTGGGGAGTAACGAGGGCCCCGGGGCACATCCCTGGGCAGGATGCAAGGCCGGCCACGTAAGCTGGCATCGCCAGGCTGGTGCGCTGAGCGGAGAGGTTCTCCGGCTGGGCAGAGACCGGATTTATGTATCAGGAAGGGCCCGAGTGGAGAGGAGGAGGAGGGCCCCAGCCTACTAAGGTGGCCTGACTGCCTGTGCGGGAAGGGCATGCCTCCAATAAGTTCCACCAGCCCCTGGACACGCTGGGGGTAAGGGAAGGACACTCCACCCGGGAGACACAACGGTTGCCTGTGCCAGGAATGTAGCCGGAAGGCCCAGAGGGGCAGGCACTGGACTTGTCTGGTCCACCACCGATGCCCTGCTATCCACATACGGCCTGCAGAGACAAAGTGTCCAGTGCATGTCTGATGTCTGAGCAAAAGACATGGCCATATGGGAGACACAAGGGGCCAGGAAATAGCTTCAATTTTTAACAAAAATAGGGTGATCTGCCACCAAGAAGAGAGCAGGCCTGGGCTCTGACTAGGAGGGGTGCACGGTCCCAAAGGGAGAAAGATGGGCAGAGAAGGGACTGTAGCAGCCCGCTGGGAAGGGCCTGAGCAGTTCCTCTGTGTGCACGATCCAGGCAGAGCTGTAGCTATGGACGTGCAGGTCAGGGGCGAGAAGGCACTATTTGTGACCATGCTTTCCGGGTAGGGCTCTGTGTTCTGGGGACACAGAGGATGGGGTTGGAGTCACCTCACTTGTCAACGCTTTAACTTGTTATATGACCTAAGGAAACGCCTTCCCCTTTCCGGACCAGTTTCTACACCTGTCGAACAAGGGGCTTGGATGATCCCAATGGCATGTGACCCTACTGAGTCCTCACACGCCCTGCACTGAAGGCCTCCAAACCTGAAGGGCTGACCCCCATCCCTGGACTCTGATCCTATAGCTGCTTTCAGGATCCTGGTGCACCAGCAACAGTGGCCATGTTTTTCTCAAGTGTGGCCCCCGCGCAGTGTCCCCATCTCAGTGCCTCGTGGCTCTCCTCCGTGCCTGGAACATGTTTTCGAATCCCCTAAAACCCAACCTTAAATTCTGGACCCCGATGCCACCTCACATCTGAAACCTCTCCTGGTTTCTTAGTTCCACACTCACTGGCAGGGGCTGCCCCCTCCCCCACAGCCCACGAGAACCTGGAGGCAGAAGTGGAGCATTCGCAAAAACAAAAGCACTGCCAAGTAAGGAGAGGAGAATGATGATCCAAACCCGTCCCCCTGGCACCCCACCTCCCCTGGGCTGGCACAGACAATCTGCCCTGGGCTGGGGGCCGGCTTAGAATCAGAAACGGCAGACACATTCCTGGAGGCAGACTCACTCCAGGCCCCCTTCCAAGAGGTAATGGCAAACATGGTCTGAAGTACCTTGACCGTGTCCAGAGGGTGGCCGACAATGACGCTGGCCGCACCTGTAGATCAAAGAAAAGGGCCTGGTTGGTCACTCAGCCCCTGGGCTCCTCACACGCACCGGCTGGCTCTTGGGATAAGACCGAGGCTCAGGTGCTCACATTCACTCAATCACTCAATGCCCAGCTGCCTCCCCCCCCCCCCCAGGGCGCTAGGCCCTGCCAAAGGCACTGAGAAAGGCAGAGGAAATGAAGTAAAACCTGGGCTCTGCCTCAAGAAACAAGCAGCCCAGAAAAGGACAGTGAAGGTGCTGGGAAAACCGGATATCCGCACACCAAAGAAGGAAGTTAGACCCCTACCTCGTACCATGCACAAAAATGAACTCAAAATAGACCAAAGACCTAAATGGAAGCACTAAGACTAGAAAAGTCATTTGCTAAAATGTAGGGGAAAAGCTTCACGACCTTAGATGGGCAACAGATTCTTAGCCAGGACAGCAAAACATAAATAACGAAGGAAAAAATAAGCTGGGTATCATAAAACTTAAAAACTATTGTGCAGCAAAGGGCACTATCAAGAAAGTGAAGGCAACTTATGGCATGGGAAGAAGTATCTGCAAATCATATATTTGATAAGGGTCTAGTATCCAGGATTTATAAAGAATAAGTATTCAGCATTTATAAAGAATATTTACAACAATAACAATAACAGAAGGATTTTTTTTTAAGGGCAAAGGACTTGAATAGGCATTTCTCCAAAGAAAATACACAAATGGCCAACATGTATGTGAAAAAATGTCCAATGTTCTTTGTCATTAGGGGAAAGCAAATCAATAACACACACACACACACACACACAGAGACCCCTTGCCACCTACTAAGATGGCCCTAATTGTTTTTAGGGTGTTTTGTTTTGTTTTAAGGAAAACAAGAAGAGTTGACGAGAATACGGAGAGACTGGAATTCTCGTCCATTGGTAGTGGAGACCTAAAATGGTGCAGCCACTGTGGAGTGTGTCGTTCCCTCAAGAACTTAAACAGAGAGTTGCCACATGGCCTAGCAATTCCACTCCTAGACAGATCCCTAGAAGAACAGAAACAGTCACTGTGACAAGTCCATGAACATATGTGAGCACAGCAGCACTACTCATGATGGCCAGAAGGTGGAAACAGCCCAAATGTCCATCACGGGATGAGTGGGCCAATAAAACGTGGTAAAAGCACACAGTGAATGCTGCCAGACATTAATAGGAACGCAGTGCAGATGCTCGCTGCCGTGCGCATGGACGCTGCAGACGCGATGCACCAGGCCAGGCACAGAAAGTCACATATGTATCCAGTCACGCATCATCTGATTCCATTTACATGAATTCTCCTGAACAGGCAAATCCACAGAGGCAGAAAGCAGACAAGTGGTTGTCAGGGCTTGGAGAGAAGGGAAGTAGGAGTGACTGCCTCTTGGATCCAGGGACTTCTTTGGGCGTGACAAAAAGCTGAACTAGACAAGAGGGGACTGCTGTACAACAAACACCGCGACTATACGAAACGCCATGGAACTGGACACTTTAAAATGGTTAACTCTATGTTGTGTGAATTTTGCCTCAAATAAAAAGGGGAGGGTATGAGGAGAAACCCCAGAAACATTTTGGTTACCTAACAAGTCACTTCATCTTTTCCACACCTCACTGTTGGCATCTGTGGGTGGGAATAGTATTAGCACGTACCTTATCGTTCCACTGTAAGAACGAAGCGAGGTAATGATTGTAAAGTACCTGCAGAGTCCTGGCTCTTATAGGCTGTTGAGAGATGCTGGGGCACCCGGGGGGCTCAGTCGATTAAGTGTCCGACTTCAGCTCAGGTCATGATCTCACAATTTGTGAGTTCAAGACCCACATCAGGCTGACATCTCAGAGCCTGGAACCTGCTTGGGAGTCTGTGTCTCCCTCTCTCTCTGCCCCTCCCTCATTCATGCTCTGTCTCTCTCTCTGTCTCTCATTAAAATATTTTAAAAAAGAATGAGAGATGCTGCCACTATCCTGTTTTGTTTTGTTTTAAAGAAGCCCTCTTCTTCTAAGGACACTCTGGATTTTTCTTCTCACAGAAAGATGCCCATTTACACATGCAATCACAAGGGTCGCATGATTTTACATGGAAGCAAGGCTACCCAGAGGCCACGCAGATGAAGCAGCCCTTGTAGAGGCTGGGGACTGTGAGGCTGAAATGGGAAGCAGTCCTCGGCAACAAATTCTCCATCCAGCAGATGAGGAAGTTTCTCTGCTAGCAGCGGTGATGTAATCAGGTAAGGCAATCCTAGAAGGGCAGACGGGTGGAGGGGCAGAGGCAGCTGACCCTGAACGGACATTCCCTCAGGTCCCTCTCAGACCCTCCTTCCCACAGAAGTGGGCGGAAAGGTGACAGGCAGCGGGAAGTTCACTCTACAGGAACCCCTCCCAGCAGGGAAAGAAAGGACCTCTGGATCTCAGACTCCAGGTGTCTCCTCACTAGTGAGCACACCCCAGGGAGGCAGACCTAGCGCCCACTTTGAACCTGAGCTTCCTTGGTCACTCATTAGCCCACCCGTCTGAAAGCAGGGAACGCAAGAGAAGAAACAAGGCAATCAGGCCAGTGGTTTTCAGACCGGAGGACCTCACAGACCAGTGAAACTTCAAACAAAATGTAAAGGATGTGATGGTGAAATTTAATTATGCAAGTTCCTTAAAGAAAGAAAATAGCTACCGATGAGTACAGGGGTTAAGACGGCCCTGGCATCGGCCTCTCGGGATGAGATCTCAGTGCTCATGGCAAAAGCATGGACTTGGACAAGCACCTAACGCCCCTGGGTTCCCATTCCCTCATCTGTGAGATGAGTATCTACACGATGAGGGTGTGAAACCTCGTTGGGTTATAAAGTTATAAAGAAACATATAAATAGGCAGAAGATCACATAGTGTGTGACTCAATTTATATAAAATGCCAAGAAAAGGCTAATTTATTCAGCCAGAAAGGAAAGCCGCGGTTGCCCAGAGGGAGGGGGTGGAATTTAACTTGTAAATGGGCATGAAGGTGATTATGAGCGAGGAATGTGTGCTGCAACAAATTGATGGTAAAGGGCTGCACCGCTGGTAAAGCTGCAAAAAATTATTGAATTGTATACTTGAAATGAGGGTATTTTATGATATGTAAAACAACCTCAAGGACGTTTTAATATTAATTTATTTACTTATTTATTTATGTTGATGGAGAGCATGTGTGTGGGTGAGGGGCAGAGAGAGAGAGAGAGAGAGAGAGAGAGAATACATCAAACAAGTTCCATTCTCAGCATGGAGCCGGACGTGGGGCTCCATGTGGGGTATGAGCCCATGACCCTGGGATCATGGCCAGAGTCAAAATCAAGAGTCAGACACTTAACCGACAGAGTCACCCAGGTGCCCCACAGTAAAGTTGTTTTCAAACTACAGTGGGGGTGAGGGGGCACCTGGGTGGCTCAGTCGGTTGAGCGACTCTTGATTTTGCTTGGGTTACTATCTCAGGGTTTGTGAGTTGGAGCCCTGCACTGGGCTCAGTGCTGACAGTGCAGAGCCTGCTCAGGATTCTCTCTCCCTCCTCTCTCTGCCTCTCCCCCAGGAGCATGTGCTCTCTCTCCCCTTCTCTAAAAAATAAATAAACAAATAAATAACAACTTTAAAAAAACATGTGGGGACCCCTGGATTGAGCAATCGACTCTTGATTTTGGCTCAGGATGTGATCTTGCAGTCGTGAGATTGAGCCCCATGTTGAGCTCTACGCTGGGTATGGAGGGTGCTTGGGATTCTCTCTCCCTCTCTCTCTCTCTCTCTCTGTCCCTCCCCAGGCCACGCTCTCTTTCTCAAAATAAATAAATAAACATAAAAAAAATACATGTGGCACTTAACCAGCATCTGCTACCTACTAAGTATTCAGTTAATACACTCACCTTCACTTCACAGAAGCAAGAAAGTCCGCAAAGCAAAAAACAGTAAGAAATGTTAACGTCAAGAAAATAAGGACAATCACAGAATAAAGGACCATGCTCTGCTTACTGTGTGACTTGGGCAGGGCCCCTGGGTCATCACAGACCTACAGCTACTCTGACAGCCTCACCCTTTAGGGCATTTCTCAAACCAAGCCAGGGGCGGCCCTACTGATGTTGGTCTGGCTACTTAAGGGGACAGCCTTAAGCAGGGGAGGCTTTCCCTCAGAATGGGTGATGGTGGGCCTCGAGACGCCTGGGTGGCTCAGTCGGTTAAGCATCTGACTGGATTTCAGCTCAGGTCATGATCTCAAGGTTCCTGAGTTCCAGCCCAACATCCAGCTCCAGGATAATGGTGGGGAGGCTGTATAGGATTCTGTCTCCCCTCTCTCTGCCCCTCCCCAACTTGCTTAAAAAATTAAAAAAACAAAAATCAAAACAAAACAGAGGGCCTGGATATGGCCAGTGAGCCTCTGGGTACAGAGCCCCCCCCCCCCCACACACAGTAAAGTTAGGACAGGGTGGTCTCAGTCTGACTCAAGACAGCCTGTACAGAAGAGCTGCTTCTGGTAGAAGGATGGACCTCTGCTCCTGAGAGGGACAAGTGGGAAAGAGGTGGGAGTGGCCACCAGAAAGGGATTGGGGGATCCTATCTGGTCTGTTGCTCTCATTGTTTCATTTTCCTTTTCCGACAAATCTCCTGGTCTTCCCAGAACCCTTGGTGGGGCACAAACATGCTAATTATAGCCTCTGCCTCAGCACCTCAGGTTTTTAGTTTTGTTTTTGCTTCTGTCTTTGGGCAGGGGCTGCGTTTGCCAGCATCCCTTTTCTGATGATCCTCTTAGATGGGGCCAAAAGAAGGATAAAGTTTACAAAAAGTGAAGTCCATCTCCAACCTTCCCCAAACCCGGTCAGTAGCTGAGAAAAATGGAGAAATAAACCTACTGGAAAGAGAAGATATGAGAAGCAATGAAATTAATGCAACTCTCGCCCACGCAAACCCATCCCAGGCCCCGCACACAGCGGCTGCAGCAGCAGCTCAAAGGGACGACCGGGTCCCAGAGTGCTGGGAGTGAGGACCTGACAGCTGACAAAGGCTGCAAACGGGAGGGGGTTCCTTCGTCCTTTGTGGCAATGGGCACCTGCCTGCCGCCAGGCGCCGGGCTTCCAGACCCCAGGCTAGCTTCAGCCAGCGCTCCTCGCCGCCCGATCGCTAAGCCGGGCTCCATCCCGCGCCTGGGGCAATCTCCACCCTCACCCACAAGTTCTTTCAGTCAGGACCCCAAACTCGGGGGAGCCCCCGGTCTCCGAAGGGTGTGTGCGCTCCCGGACTCTCCATTGGCTGTTGGCTTCGACGGCCGGTTTAATCGTTACCGGAGCCGCTTGGGCGAGTCCTCACTTTGAGGCAAAGCCACAGCTCAGGGAGCAGCTGCGAGGCTGGCGGGGGTCAGGCCTGGCAACAGGGCAGGGACAGCGAGGCCAGCAGCCGCAGGACGGCGGGGCGGCGGGGCGCTCCGGCCGCAGGCGGCGCGCACGTTGTGCGCTAAGCAGAGGCGCACGGCGCGGGGCTCCCAGACCCCAGCAGCGCGTGTGAACTCGGCCGGCTCGCTCTCTCTCCGTGGCCCGGGGAGGTCTCCCGCAAGCACAGTCACCTCCGGTGGCGGGGGGAGGGGGGGTCCCTCTCATCCAGGGCCGGGCTCACCTCCGATCCAGCCCGCCGCGAAGTCTTCCAGCTGGAAGCTGCCCATGGCTAGAGCAGCGCCTAGTGGAGTGGTGGGTGCCCAGTGAGGGTCTGCGGGGCACGGCCCGCCGGCCCGCGCTCGGGGGAGGAAGGGGGCGACTCGAGCGCGCGCTGCAGGTCCTACTTCGAGTCCGTCTCCCAGCGCAGGGCCCGCGGGGCGGCCGCGCTCACCTCTCCAAGCGCCCGTGGCCGCTGCTAGCACGCCCCCAGCGGACCTTAAAGGCGCCGCACCTCGCCGGTCCGGGACGCTGGGGCGGGCGCGGGGCGTTGCCTTTGCCCGCCCTTCTCCGTCGCCCATTCCTTGCCATCGCAGGTCCTCAGCGCCTGGAGGCCAAGATGCCAGCCCCTACCTTGTCCACACCCCCTCCGAGACACTGCAGTGCTGTCCGGGACAGTTTTGTACAACTCATTACAAGAGGTGGAAAGGGAGGCTTTATCCAAGGTCGGGAGGTGTTTGATTACAAACACCAAGACCTCTCTGTGATAGGAGTATTTGCCTGTGAGGACACGTCCTCTCTCTAAAACAGCACTGAAAGAGTTCTCACTGAATGAACCGCTTTCAGCTCAGCCGCAAGTTCTTAGTTCTCCGGGAATCTGATTGAAAGCTGGAGACACTTTCACTATAAGATACACAGAACACACAATTTTCCATGCCTGTTTTAGAGGTTAGGGACAATCTTGACACACCCTCCACACGTCTCTGGCTAGCCCCAGGATGCAGAACCCTATCTATCCATAAGTAACTGAAATAGTGTGCGGAAAGCGCCTAGCCCCAGGCTACGCTCCAAGTCAGACCTAAATAAACACTAGCCATAAGGATGTCTTCGGGCCAGGCTGGGGCGGGGTGGGGGGGGGGGTGTCCATTGCTGGTCCTACTTCCTCCTCACAGCAGCTGAGCGGGCATTACTGTCACCACCACCCCCCACCCGCGTTCAGGGTCCATTTCGTATCACCTTGGCTGGGAGGGCAACAAACAGTACCCAGTGATCCAATCAAACATTAACGGAGGCAGTGCTGCGAAGGTATTTTGTAGGTATGACTAACACCTAATACCAGTTGATCTTAAGTAGGGGAGCTCCTCCTTGATAATCTGGGTGGGTTCCACCCAATCTGTTGAAAGGCCCTTACAGCCAAAGTGGAGGGGTGCCTGGCTGGCTCACTTGGAACAGCGTGTGAGTCTTGATCTCGGGGTTGTGAGTTGGGTATAGAGATTACCTAAAAATACAGTCTTTATTTTTTTTTAACTGTTGATTTACATTTGAGAGAGAGAGAGAGAACACGTGCACGAGAGACAGCACGCTAGTGGGGGAGGGACAGAGAGAGAGGGAGCCAAAGCATCGGAAAAGGGCTCTCTGCTGACAGCACAGAGGTCAATGTGGGGCTCGAACTTACAAACCATGAGATCCTGACCTGAGCTGCAGTCGGATTTTAACCCACTGAGCCACCCAGGCATCCCCAATCTGTTGTTGTTTTTCTTTTTTCTTAAGAGCAAAATGGAGGTGTCTCTGCGGAAAAAGAAATTTCACCTGCAGAATGCAATGTCAGCTCCTAAGTATTTCTAGCCTTCCAGCCTGTGCTCCGGATTTCAGATTTGCCCAGTCAGACGCCACGCTGAGCTGACATAGATGTGTCTCCTACTGATTGTTTCTCTGCTAGAACCCTGTGTTCACCTGACACAACCCTGATTCCAATCAGCTGTGGGCTTTCTCGTCCCTCTCCCAGCCCTAGGCGGTCATGCTTACTGCCATCGCAGCCAGGTCCCACTCAGCATCCTGGGCCCAAGCAAGACCTGGGGATTCAGGGTCATGTCTAATTTCCAGCTCTCCAGGGGCCCAGCTCCCTCCAGGCCCAGGCTCAGCCTATACTTTCCACCCTAGGTCCCCAGGAAGGCAGACGGGTGCAGTCCCCCCTTCCTCAAACATCCTCTCTGCAGGTAGGCCCTGCACCCAGCCAGGACCCAGCTTGGGACACATGGCCTGGCTGTGTGGAGAGGCTTCTTTCGGTGCAGGGGGACTTCCTGATCTCCTTCCAAGAAAGAAGATAATTTGATGCTAATGCCCAGCAGAAACCCAGCCCTGGCACCCAAAATGGTAGAGAATGGTCTAGAAGAAGGGGGCTCTGCTGGGCCTGCTCTTCTCCCACAGGCACCTCCATGTCACGTGCCCCAGGTCTCCTTCTTCCAAAGCAAGACAAAGTCTGACCACCGAGGCTTGATGCTAAGGTCAAGAGGCCTGCTGAGGAGTCGGGGCTCACCATCAGCCCCGACCTACCTGCCGGGCCTGGGATTTGTGCGGGGACCTTAGAATAAATGCAAGCTCTCCAAAGAATGGCCCTTTTTGTGACTTCACCATTGAGCAAGTCAACAGGTGGAAAGTCATTCCTCAGTCCCGTGTCAGCACCAACTGGCAGGCAGTGGCTCTGTCGGCCCTGGGACAGCCACCTGCATCCCGAAATCCATTCCTTGCACTGCTCGTAAGTGCAGCAGGGTGGAAGGAGCAGGCTCCTTTCCAGAAGAAGCCACCGTCCACGCTCCATTCCCAAATGTGTGGTATAAGTATGCCCATGAGGCACACCAGCTGACAGGCAGGGGGAGGACCCGGGTCCAGCGGCAGTCAAGGGCCAGGCCTGGGGACTCCCAGAGCACCAGGCTGTGGGAGCGGGCCTGCCACTCCCTCCTGGCTTCCCTGCTTTGCAGCTTTTGCTGTGTTGCCATGCACACGTGTCCTCTGCCCTCGGGACAGAGCAGGTACAGAAACTAAGGCACAGACAGATCAGCTTCCTGGGTTGCTAGTGCAAGAAGAAACCTCATTTCCTTTCTCCCTCCACTCCTTCTGGGAAGGGAACCCCCAAGAGCACTTCCCGCTGCAGCAGGGGATGCACATGGGACGGGCTGCTAACGTTTGATGACCACCACTTCCCATCTCTCATCTGCCCTTTCAGGGAAGGACTTTGCTGAGCACCCACTACGTGCCAGCCTCTGTTGTGGGGAACTGTCAGAGAGGAGACAGTTTATCTGAGCTGCTGCAGGGAGGGGGCTGTGAGAGCCCTGGGGAGGGAGCTGTGTGGCAGGCAGTGGTCAGGTAGGCCCCCGGGCCTCCAGTCTCCCGGCTGCACGGAGCCTATCCAGCCCACAACTCCAGCTCCTCGGCACTCCCTCGGCCAAGCCCTCACCCCCACCTGCCGAGCTGAGCAGCACAGTCCTGGGCCAGCTGCTCCAGTCCGTCTGGTGGCCCGTGGCCGTGGCCCTGCCTCCTGCTCTCTTGCTGTCTGGACGCCCATCCCCCCACCCTCAGCTATTCTCCTCTTCTCTGCTGCCCTGCTCTCACTCCTTGGTGCTACCTCCCCTGTGCCTTCCCCTGCTGGCTTCCTCGGGGCCCTCGCAGCCACGCTGTCCCAACCTCAGCCAACCATCTCCCAGCTCACAAACCCCACCCCTCATCTCCCACTCAGACCTCACTTCTGAGCCCACACAGCTTTACTCAACACCTCCACTTGGGTGGCCCCACATCACTGCTCATGTGACATGCCCCTTTAACTCCTCAAGTATTTTTTTTTAATTTTTAAAAATATTTTATTTTTGAGAGAGAGAGAGGCAGAGTGAGCAGGGGAGGGTCAGAGAGAGAGGGAGACACAGAATCAGAAGCAGGCTCCAGGCTCTGAGCTGTCAGCACAGAGCGCGACACGGGGCTCGAACCCACGAACCATGAGATCATGACCTGAGCCGACGTTGGACGCTTAACTGACTGAGCCACCCAGGTGCCCCTAACTCCTCAAGTATTCTTGACTCTGTGTCCCCACCCAGCTAGTCACCCAAGCCAGAGCCTGGATGCTGTCTACGATCCCTCGATCCCCGGGGCCCCAATCCGTCAGCCATCTCCTCCATGGCTCTGACGTGCTGCCCTTTCTGATGTCTCCCCATGTGGCTGAGCCAAGGCCTCTGCTATTCCCTGCCTGGATCATGGTGGCAGAGGCCCTCTGCCCCGTCCTCCGTCTACCCTCCAGCTGCTTCCACAGTGAGCCTCTGAAACCTTACATCTGCTCGGGCCTCCTCTGTTGAGGGACCTCCAGTGACTTCCCAGGGCCTCGAGAATAATTCCCATTCCCTAGCTTGGCGTGCAAGGGTCCGGGGGCATGGGTCTGGCTGCCTTTCCACTTCTTACTTCCTACCACCTCCCCTCAGGCTGGAGCCTCAGCTGGACAGCATGCCCTTCATGCCCCACCAGCTCTCCATGTGCAACTAAGCATGCATGAGAATTTGTAGGGAAATGCCCGCTCCTCTGCCTCCCCCACTAACCCCTATACCTGACTCCTTTGCAACTTAGCTCAGCTCTCACCTTCTGATCGGTTTTCTGTGACGCCCTCACCACCCCACTCCACACCAGAGCTGCTGTCTCTCCAGTGTGTTTCTAGAATATCTCAGGCATATCCGTACCGTGGCTGCCATCCATGGAGGATTATAATCTAACTTCCTATCGGGACTGGGGACCCACTGAGAATAGGGCACGGACTTATTCTCCTCTAAACCTCCAGGGCCTGGTTCAGGCCTGGTAGATAGGCAGTGTTCAGTGGGCTTTGAGTGGGGAAGGCTGTGGAATAGAAATCTGACAGGCCTGCTGACAGTACGCAGCCAAAGAGAGGTCCAGATACAAGGCAGAGCAGAAAAGGCCCTGGGCCTTTCTCAGCATGTCATGGAAGCCTGATCCTTTCAGGCCCTCAAAGCTACCAGACACTTTTCCACCTCAGGGCCTTTGCACTAACCACTCCTGCTGCGGCTCCCTCCTCTTGCCTTTCTCAAGGCCAGCTTCTGCTTCTTTCAGCCCTAAGCTGAAACGTCCTTATCACAGAGGCCTCTCCAGACACCTGAGGTGGCTGAGGTGAAGCTCTTTTTGCCCTTCTTGAGGCTTCTCATTCCAGCCCTGACCATGTTGGTCAGTCCTTGTGCAATGCCTGGGGGGCCTGGGAGGGTAAGACCCTTCTGGCTCATCCACTGTCCCTGCATTCTTAGCCACCACCACTGAGCAGACAGATAAATGGAAATTCCTGATTGCTGGATGCAAATGAACAAGATGGGCATCTGTACCTGCTGCATCAGTCCTGCATCAGCCTCAGACAACAGGACCTCTTGGGTCCCTTCCCTGACTCTGATGGTGAGATTTTCTAAATGCTATTTGAGCTTCTCATGGACAGTTCTTTGAGGAAGTCTACTCAGAGCATGTTCAGACTGTATTTGGCCCGGCATCTATTTGATGTGACTCCAAGTCAAGAAACAGACAGAGGTGTAGGGCTGTGATGTGGGGCCAAGCAGCCACTGGGAGGCTGCGTGGCCTGGGCTCTGCTTCTGGTGCTGCCACTGCACCTTGGGCAAGTCCAAGCCTCAATTCCCCTCTCTGTCTTTTGGAGAGTACAGATGAATTCCGTCTGAGGGAGTGTCCAAAAAGTCTGAACTCTGGGCCACAGCACCACCGCTATGGGTGTCTTGTCAAGATGTGACAGCAGAGGGCGCTGCTGTACAGCACTTGGGACTCCCAGGAGGAAAAAACCAGCTTGGCTGCCCCAGCGGGCAGTTTTCTGGCACAGTTTCCTTTGGCCTGGGCTGGCCAAGTATGCACTTGGGCAGTGAAAGAGCTGCTGACCTGGAGGGCTTAGATGAGTCTGAGGGTGTCAGAGGGGACTGATGAGGACCCAGATGAGGCTTTTTGAAGCTGAATGTACTTGGAGGGAAAATGCCCCAGTAACCAGTAAAGAGAGGTGACACCCCCAATCTCTTCACCTGCCTTGATTCATCAAGACCTCTTTTTTTAATTTTTTCAACCAGGGTCTTTCTTTTTCAACCAGGGCTCTAAGCTGGCCCCGTCCTATATGTTCCACCTACACCACCTTGCTATACTCTGCGAAGAAATTCCCCATTTTATAGCTGAAAGGAATACAGCTGAGAGGTGAAGCAATTTCCCCAAAGCCACACAGGCAGTGAATGGAGGATTATGCGCTTGCTGTAGGACTCAAGGGCCAGCTTTTAACCAAGGTGCTGCCTCTTGGCCAAGACTCAGAAAGTGGAGATGCCTTTCCCCAAAGCCCTTGCTCCCATCCCTGCCCTGACCCCTCTGTATAAGTGCCCTAACCTCTGGGCCTCACTTTCCTCATCATCAATAAACTGGTATTAACATTTGCCAACTATACTCCTATTCTTAGGGCTTCTGGAGCAGATGCCCCGGTAATCAAGGGGAGTGCCCTGGGCTGCTCTCCACCCTTGCCTCCCTGACAGACTCCCATGGGCCGAGCTGGCTCTGTGCTCATCTGAGAGGAAGGAAAGCCTGGCTCTCCTTGGCCTTTTCCTCTCAACTGATGGATGTACATGGGCTGGCGCTGAGGACACGTGGAGGCCAGGCAGGTCCAGGGACCAGCAGATCTAGAATAGAGGAGATCTTGTAGGAGGAAAGGGGCATGGGGGAAGGGGAGGAGGAAGGGTCCAGGACAGCAGTTGAGATCACACCCCAAAGCCCTTGAGGAGCACCTACTGGGGGCCAGCCTGCCGGGGGCGTGGAGGGCTCAAGATGCTGACAGCAGAGAGAAGTTTTGCATTGGACGTGTCTACCCACTCTGCCATGTGGCAGGTCTCCCCCACCGGGCATTCTTCAAACACCAGCTGCACGGCCCTGGGGGAGGCCAGGAAACCCCATACCCAGCCTCACCTGAAAAGAAAACAGGCCAGTAGGGACCAGACAGAGTCTTGAGGGCAGACTCAGAAGCCTAGGGAAGGAGGTGACATGTGGGCTGGTCCTAAAGAGACGAGCTGGGCTTTGAAGGCAGTAGAGAAAGGCAGGTGGCCAGAAGGATGAGGCCCAAACAAGGCCACCTGGAAGAGGCCCTTTGCCGTGGGAGGGGAGGCTGCAGGTCTGGCATCTGAGGGCAGGGGACCTTGGCCAGCAAAGTGACCGTGGGCGGTCCTCGGCCCCCATGCTGCTCCCTGTGAGAGGACAGAGGACCCATTCTGCAGCTGTCTGCCTCTCACCTAGACAAACTCCCCAGGGCCACGCTGAGGCGGCTTCGGCTCCTTGCAGACCGGCTCTTGCTCTCTGTGAGGACCTGCTGGTCTTGTCCCCGGAAGCCTGAGGCTTGTACTGGTCAGGAACTACCAGTACCTTCCACCCCCAGGGACAGTACTGTTCTTTCCACTTGCCGTGAGTCACCTTGAGGAAAGACACAGGGTGCGACAACCCCTCCCCCGCAGCTCTGAACCCACCCAAATCCCACTGTTCTCTGCTCTGGGGTCCCTGTGAACCTGGCAAAGAGCATACTTCCTGTTGTTGAGGGAGGAGAGACTGTTAACTGAAAACCAGTGCACATGAAGCGCCCAGCCCCGTGGCTGGCACAGGGTAAACAATGAAAAGCCCTTACCGTTGTTAGCCTCTGCGTCCTGACCTGTGTTCACGCAGGTCTGTGTCAGCACACAACAGCTCACAGCCGACACTGCTGGACTGACCAGAAGCAGACTGCTCCTCCAGACAAGCTCATTCCCTCCCCCAGGACCCTTCCGGACCCGGAGCCTTCCTGCAAACAGCAACCTCAAGAAAACTCTCAGAGCTGGAACACCTGAGGTTCTCTTCAGCCTGCCAGCCAGTCAGGTGTGTCCATCTCCCCTCAGGAGGGTTGGGATTGGAACCCGTGGGGCTCTGGGCCCTGCTGATGCCTGGAAGGCCACTTGTATGGGAAGAGGGAGCCATACGGCTGACTCAGCTTGTACTGTGCAAGGAGAGAGTGGGCCCACTTTCCAACACACAGCCAAACACTTCCCAACCCAATCTGTGTCTCTGTGGGCAGTGACAGCCCAGGGATGCCAGCTGGTTGGATCAGCCATGGGGAACGCAAGAGGGGAAAGACCAGCCACCCCCTCCAAGAACAAAGCCAAGAAATCTTGCAGCAACGGCACCTATATTTCTTCACCATATTGCCAACTGAGCCCAAAGGGAAGTCGTAGCAGCGCCTCAAGAAATGCTTAAAGGTGCATTTAAAAAAAGAAATTCTTGGGGCGCCTGGGTAGCTCAGGTGGTTAAGCGTCCGGCTTCGGCTCAGGTCATAATCTCATGGTTCGTGGGTTGGAGCCCCGCGTCGCGCTCTGTGCTGACAGCTCAGAGCCTGGAGCTGCTTCAGATTCTGTGTCTTCCTCTCTCTCTGATCCTCCCCGCTCATGCTCTCTCTCTCTCTCTCAGAAATAAATAAAACATTTTAAAAAATTAAAAAAGAATTTCTTGGTCATAACTGAAGCATGACCAACTGATTTCTCTCCCATGGCCTGTCAACTTCACCGTCGACGACTTCACCCCAGGGCAACTAGGGAGCAGGTGAGGGGGGGCCTCCTGAGTGGAGGAACAGAAATCCAGCCATCAGGGGTATGTGGGTCACAGGGGAGGGGAGGGGGCAAGGAAGCACTGCCATAGGACAGAGTGGCTGTGAACTTGGGTCCCACGGTGCACAGTCCCAGGAGTGGGTGGGGTGGGTGAGCACGTGCTGCCTACATAACCACCCAGTACAGCCTCAGGTGGTGTGGGGTGAGCCTGGTGTCTGGGGTCCGGTTAGGGCACCAGGAAATGTTATCCAGAGGGGCCAGGGCCTTGGCAGATGTGTGGTATGTTGTTTTCCCTGCCTGCGTTCTCCAGAGCAAGGGAGCCAGGAAAGGAAAGGGGGCGAGGAGGAAAGATGAGGCGGCCTCCTGGTGTTTGAAGGGTGGCAGCTGGCTCTTTCCCTGCTCCCGCAAGCCTCACTGAGGAGGGGTGTGTCGGGAAGGGTTTTAAGTACTCAGGCACTGAGCACACACTGACCTGGGTGTGAATCCCAGCTCCACTGTCGCTGAGCTGTGTGAGCCCAGGCAGGCAACTTAACCTCTCTGAGCCTGTTTCTTCATCTGCAGAACGGAGTTGATGCAAGCATCTACCCCCGTGAGGATTATGGAGATGGTCTCTGTAAGCCACCAGGCACGGAGCAAACGCTCCCTTAATGGAGGCTGTGCGTGTTAACTCCAAAACATCACATCAGTGCACCAACTCCAATCCAATAAGTAGTGATTTATTTCGTCCCTGGTCCACATCCCTCAGTTGTTCAGCGCCCCCTGGTCCTGCTCCCTTGCTCTGAGCTTGGGACAGGTTGGAGGGATGGTCTGAGCACCTGCCAGGCAGACGGCCCCTCTGTGGAGCACCTTTGGGGGCTGCTGCTGTCCGCTCGGCCTCAGGCAGTTTTCCCGGCTAGGAGGGCCCAGGGAGCACCTGGGGCTGCGGGGTCGCTTCCGGAGGCTGCGGCTGCAAGGGGTACAGGCTGAATACCTCCCCTCTAGTTCTTGGGGAGAAGGCCACCCCCGAGCCTGCTGAGGCGGCCACTGGCGTGGACCTGCACCCCGGAAGGGTACAGGGTCTCCTCGTTGGCCCACCCAAGGAGACAGAGAGGACGGAGGGGCCGCCAGCGTTTGGGCTCCTCCTGTCAGCTCCGCGGGTCCTAGGCACCCAGGCAGAGGGGGAGGTAAGGCCGGACTTGGGGCCCCAGGCCAGTTCTGAGCCCTCACCCCCAGCCACGTTCACCTCTTGCCAATGAGCAGGTGCTGGCGCCCACTCTTCGGCGGCTCCTGCTGCTACCGGCTGGCGCTCCGTCCAGAGTGGCCGCGGGCAGCGATCTCCCGGGCGGCCGGCCCGGGACTGGCGTGCAGCTCCTCCTCCGGGGTTCTGTAGTAAGGCACGAACCCCCAGGCACCAAGGGCACCGCCCCCGGAGGGAGGGGTGGCCGGGTCGCTGTCGTGGCAGCCCCCTGCTGGGACCCACAGGATGGGGGAGCAGGGTGGCGAGCGTGAGGACCCAGGGGGGAGGCCTGGGCTTGCCGAGGCGGCCTGCGTGGGAAGGACACAAGATGGGAAATGCAGCATTGGCCTCGTGCCCAGCGTGGGAGGGGGCAGGGCGCGGGCTGGGGAACACCGAGCGACGGCATCCACCCCTCTGGGCCTCCCTGCTGGAAGGAGCGCCTCTGGGATTACAATCCACTCATCCACCTGCTCTGTCTTTTGGTCACGGCGGCTAGCTCCGTGGCTCTGTTAGTGGCTAGTAGTGACCTGACAGGGCACCGGCTTGGGGTCAGAGTCCAGGTTTGCTCTTGTCAGCTAAGTGTCTTTGGCCGAGTCATTTAACTGCTCTGAGACTCATTTTTCTCATCCGTAAAGCAGGAGCAGCAACCAGCCATGGCTCATAGGACTATTATTAGGACAGGGGAGCTGATGCACGTGGGGTATTTGCTGGCATGCCGAGCAAGTCATAAGGACTCCCAGATGTTTCTCTGGGGTACACTGGCTAAGCCAGGTGTAATAATCACACTACTGTATGTAATTCTCAAAGGCTCCAATACTACCTCCACTATTCCCTCTCTTTTGTAAGGACTTTGAAGCCCAAGGGGCTTAAGCACATTCCCCAGGCCACCCCCACTCACTGAGGCCCCGCCACTGACAGTCACCCTGCAGAGGCGGCCAGCCAGTGCCTCCTTCCTGGTGCATGGGTCTTGGGAGACCCCGCATGAGCTGCCGGGAAGGGCCAGCCTGGGAAAACACTCCTCCTTGGAGCGATAGAGCGGGAAGAACCCACTGGGTGGTTCTGAGTCCTTGGGGAACAGCACATCGCTAATATTCTGGTCTCCTCCTTGGTCCCTGGAAACCTCGGGCCGTGGGGCCAGCTCCTCCACCGCCAGGAGATTCCCGTAGGTGCGGAAGAAGGGCAGGTACTCCAAGGCCACCGGGGACCCATGGGAGAGGTCAAGGCTGCTGAAGGGCTCACTGGCCCTTGGACTGCTGGCCTGTGGGTGCCAGGACAGGGGCTCTGGGCCGGCCTCCTCCAGGAGGCTCTGGGAGGCTGAGATGCTGGACTCAGGCTCACAGCTCTTCTGGGATGACTGGAATGAGAAAGGTGTTCCACCTGTTACCCAGGTGGAACCAAAAGAACCCAAAGCCCAAAGTCCCCATACCGGAGCCCACCTCCCCCATTCCTGCCAACACTGGAGGCCACAGGGGTCTTCCCAAAGCATAAACCTGAGTGTGCTCCCCTCTGTTAGAACCCAGCGGAGGCTGCCAGCCTTGGGGGCAGGTTACCCAGCAGCCTGGCAGGGCCTGGCCCTGCCGGCACCGACATCCTTCCCCCACCCCCTTCTGACTCCACTCTGTATACACCAGCCTCCTTGCCCTTCCTCAGTCACGCAAAGCTTGGTCCTGCTTTAAGACCTATGTCCAGATCTGACCTTCGCCTCTCAGTTCAAAGCAGCTTTCCCAGCCCCTGCCTCACCCCACCCTTGCACTGACTTGACTCTCGATTATTCCAGCCATCACATCTCCCACACTGGAATGCTCTTGGTCCAAGTCCACCTAATCGGGTGTGTGGCGGTTTTGTCTGTCCGGTGCTCCTGGCTCATTGTGGGCATGCAATATTGATACTCTTCCAACACATGACCAGGCCAATCTGCTGACTCTCAAGCCACCTCATATTCCCTTCACCATCCAGTCCATCCACACAGACCTCTCAGTCCGTCTCAACTCCCCAAGTACAGGGCCTTTGCTCATGCCAATGCTCCTGCCACAGGGCCTTTGCTCATGCCAATGCTCCTGCCTGGAATCTCTTCCTTCTCCTTTTTCCTGACTGACACCTTCAGTTCGTGGCTCCAGGCTACTCCCCCCCCCCCCCCCCCCCGCCGGGTTAGCTGCTTCACTCTGTTGCTGACTCCCACCCCTCTGATGCCCCTCATTCAGAGTCCCCACACCTCTGCTGTGAAACATTCATCTGCATTGTGACTTGGTTAATCTTTCATCTCACCAGTTATAAATTCCAGTGAGGCTAGGCCCCTCTCTCTTCTGTATCCTCGGGGCCTAGAACAGCCTTAGCATATGGCAGATACCAAATATTGGAATAAAGGAAAAGAAAGGTGGGAGGGAGAGAAGGAGGAGGAAAGAATATTAAACTAGGCTTGGCCGGGAACAAAGTCCTTGCCAGGCTTCCTGTCAACAGGAAGGGAAAGACATGTCTTATGGGAGGATGGGGTGGGAGGGGAGTGGGGAATTGCTTCCCAAGCCCAGAGAAAAGACAACCCATTCTCCACCTTTGCCTGCCAGGGTCAGAACCGGAGCCCATGGGTACATGTGGGGTACAGGGGTACCCTGTGGACTCTGAGTCCCACAGGAAGGACTTGTGGTCCGACCCTGGCCTTCTTGATCCTTGCTGGCGCCTCCAGGCCTTGAGTATCCCACCCTAACCACATGCATGGCCATGCCTGTCCTAACCCCTTGTGTGCAGCTCTACCACCACTGTCCCCCCAAAAATTCCTAACCCTCGGCAAGAGCCCAGGGCCCCAAAGACTGTGAGCTCCTGAAGAGCAGGGACCAGACCCCCTGCTCTGAGTCTGGGTGCGCAGCTCAGGGCCACCCATGCTGCCCCTCCCCAGACACACCACGGCCCCACAGCAGTCCTCTACCTCAGGGAGACCACGGGAGCCCCCTCCCAACCTTGCCGGGCCTAGGAAACAAGGCGGTGTGGGGGCCCTGCCAGAGTTGGAGGCCAAGCCCACCCTGCTCTGAGGCCTGTGCTCTTTTCACCGTGACCTGTGTGGTATCGTGGTCTCAGCTGTGTCCCCCGTGAGGTATGCTGAGGTCCTAACTCCCAGTACCGGGAATGCGATCTTATTTGGAAAGAGGGTCTGCATCTATTTGGTAGATTCAGTCAAGTTAAAATGAGGTCAGAGTGGATTATGTGGCTCTAGATCCAATGAATGGTGTCCTTATGAGGGAAATTTGGGCGCAGACGCAGGGGAATCATCAGAAGACACTGAGTGCAGAGACGCGAGGGGTGCTGCCCAGGCCAAGAGATACCATGGGTCGCTAGGGGCCCACCTGCCTTCAGAACTGTGAGAGAACACACTGGTGTTGCAAAAGCCACCCGGTTTGTGGTGACTTGCTGCAGCAGCCCCAGGACACTGTCACGTCCAGGCGAGTGCGAGGGCCGGCTGTGTGGGTGAAGGGATCCGCCTCAAGAACAAAGTCTGGCAGGGCTCTCGTGGCGGGCCCTACCTCGTGAGCAGCCTGTGGGGACAGTCTCCCTGTGGCGGCTGGGTGCCCCTAGGCCTTACCCGTCCTGCCATCCAGATGCCCTGCTACATGAGAGTCTTCCCCGCCTGGGCCCTGGCCCCACTTCACCAGTGGGTCCTGGATTCAAGGAGTCCAGGAATGGCCCCTCTGACTCTCCAGAAGGGCTCAGCAAAGCAGCCTGTGCCCAATGCCACTATGCTGTCCCTCAGCCACCGCCTCGTGAGTCCCTTCTGGAGACAGTGGTAGCCCGCACCGTGACACGATCAAGACTAATCTTCAAACTCTGGCAGAAAAGACAAAGCTGCCCTTGGCCGATCCCTTCCTCCCAGCCTGCTCTTCCCCCTGGCAAATGCCCCTCTGCCTGTCAGGGAAGGTTCCACCATGAAGTCACAAGGCCTGGAGCCAGGCAAGAAAGCCAGACGGCGCCGTTACCATGGAGACTCCTGCCCCAGCACCCAACACCTGTGATCATCACCTGCCTCGTAATTCAGCTTAATCCAGATCTCCCCCGGGGACTTGGGGGATACAAAGGAAAAGCTCAGCTCTCCATGACAGGCCCAATGAGCTGGCTCAGGGACTTGTGCCAAGAGACTCTGAGAGTGCCCCAGCAGCCTTCCCAGGAAGGGGAGGGCACGCCCTGAGGTTCCACGCTGTTGCCTAGGGCTGTCCGGACCTCCCCATAGCTGAGTGCCTCGGTCCCCTTGGGTCTCTGCTCTTGCCATTCGATTTCAGTCCCCTCTCCTCTGTGGGTCTTTCCCAGTCACTTGGGAGCACAGAGCAAGACACAAAGCCGAATACTCGCCTTCCCCCACAGAGCCACCCTGCCCAGCTTCTGTCCCAGGCCTGATGTTCCTGCTCAGAGGGAAAAGACGAGCCTTTGTTGTCACCTCCCAAGGGTCAGCTGCTGCTCTGGGCCTTCCCCACATGCAGCCCTCTCTACAGACCTTCAGGGCGGCTATACCTTGTTACAGACTGGGTAGCTGAGCCTCCGCTACAACGGCCTTCAAAGGTAGTCTTTAGCCTTAGGGCTGGAGGCTGGAGAACCCCAGCAGAGCGCCCAGGGCCACAGGGCCCCAGTACCTTCAGGGCCTCAGGCTTCTCCATCGCGGGATCCCAAGCACTGTGTGACCCAGCAGGGTTCCTGGGGGTCAGGCCCCAGACCCCCCACCCCGATCCTAGGGCCATTAGAGCTTGCTTTTCTTGTTTTATGGACTTAACTCTTTAATCCATGTGGAATTTATTTTTTCTAAGTGGTAACAGATAAGGCCCTAATTTTATTTTATATATTGGATTATATATGTTGATGCAATATCGTTAATGAATGACGCATTTCTCCACCAACCTGATTTCAAAAGCCAAAGTAACCACATTCAAAATTTGTAACTATTTTAAACTCAAGTCAGTTTCTCTGTTTATTGTTCTGTCCCTCTCTTTGTCTCTCTCTTTTTTTTTCTTAATGTTTTAATTTATTTCTGAGAGAGAGACAGAGACAGCATGAGCAGAGGGGAGTCAGAGAGAGAGGGAGATACAGAATCTGAAACAGGCTCCAGGCTCTGAGCTAGCTGTCAGCACAGAGTC